CGTGCGAATCACATGAAAGCCGAGATCGTGGGAATTGTGCCAGAAGAGATCGTGTGGAATAGTATGTACTTTCCATGGTGGCAGCGGATTATTCGGCGATTTCTGATCCAAGCTGTTGTGGTTTTCATGGTTATTTTCTGGTAAGTTCTAAAATACAGCCCTGTCATCAATTCCGCTCTTCCAACCAACCCCCTGATCAACCATCTCTGGTATAACCGTGCTAATACATTGTTCAGGGCTCTCCCAGCTGCAGCTGTAGGTGTTATAAGCAACATCACATACCTCACCAAAACTATTCCATTCCTTGGTTTTATTAATTCGCTACCATCTGTAATTCTCGGCCTCATTACTGGTCTACTCCCAGCAGTCGCTCTAGCCACTCTGATGGCTATCGTTCCTATGATTATGCGAGGTAGGTCTCATTTCTGATTTACAATTCTGCTTGTTCTCACATCTCTATTTTCTACCTGGCCATGTAGCTAATTTGCCCTAGCATGTGCTCGTCAAGCAGGTGTAGCAACGCAATCCAGAATCGAGCTCTTCGTACAGAACAGCTACTTCCTCTTCCAAGTCATCCAAGTGTTCCTGATCACAACATTCAGTTCATCAATTTCAAGTGCCGCTCAGGCTCTCATCAAGAATCCATTGGGCATTAGAGATTTACTCTCTTCGGCTCTCCCAAAAGCGTCGAATTTTTACATCAGCTATTTTATCCTACAAGGCCTAGCTTTGAGTGCAAGCAGAATCGTACATTTAGGTGGTTTGGTCCGACATCAGCTTCTGCGGTGGGCAGGAGGACGCCCAAGAATAATTTCGAGGCGGTATCATCGACTGAGGAAGATACATTGGGGATCGATATTTCCCATGTTCACCAACATGGGTGTCATCGGTATGCTCTATTATGTCTCAAAGACGTTTCCTTGCTGACACCCTGCAGCAATATCCTACTCCCTCATTGCCCCCCTCATTCTCGGCGTAGCAGCTCTTTGCCTCTCACTCGTCTATCTCACTTACAAATACAACCTCTTATACGTCTACTCCTCCTCACCCGATAGTCGAGGGATCTTCTATCCTCGAGCTCTAAAGCAAACACTCACAGGCGTCTACATAGCTGAAATATGCATGATCGGATTGTTCGGTTTGAAAGGTGCCTATGGACCGCTAGTAATGACCTTCGGCCTGGTAATTTTCACAACACTCATCCACGTCTCACTGAACCAAGCTCTCTCGCCACTGCTCTTCAATCTTCCACGCACACTAGCTATCGAAGAAGAGCTTCGACGAGCAGGGAACCCGCCGTTCTTGGCTGCTAATCTAATGGACATGAACGAAGGCGATCTGACGAACACAGCGGCCGGAAAGCTCGACGATGGGGAGCTGAACATCGGCTACGATTCAGATTTTGACCCCTCAACAAACTCACCCGATGTCGACCACGGGATGCAAAACTCGCGCTCCCTCGCACCAGAGGGCACAGATCGCATCGTCAAGATGTCCGTACAAACGATCCGGAAATACCTCTCGAAACAATACGCCTCCTCTCCCCTCCCTTCCCTGCTCTCCAGCCTCGATTTCTGGTCCTATTGGATCACGCCTTCTCCTCTAATCCAAAATCCGAATTTCATCCTCAAGTTCCTGCATCCGGAAGTTTTCGCCGATTATCATGTTCTGCGAGATATGATTCCCGACGAGGTGAGGGATGTGGATGTCACGAGCGCGTATGAGGAGAGTGTGTTGAGAGATGCGTATAGTCCGCCTAGTATGCGTTCGAGAGCTCCGAGGCTGTGGATCCCGAGAGATGGCTTGGGTATCTCGGCGCAGGAGGTTAGGCATTGTGCGGCGGTTGGCGTGGAGATTAGTGATGCTGAAGCTTGGGTTAATGAGAGGGGGCAGACGAGGGTTGCTTTGGAGGGGGAAGTGGAGAATTGGGTTACCCCGAGATGGGAGAGGGTGAGGTTTTGATGAACTCTGGTGGACGGCAAGTGAAAGAGAGGAGAAGGGGAGGGAAAGTGATTTATGCTATGCTATTTTCACTAGTGAGCGATTTCATCAATTCAGCCCGGCGTTGGAAGGAGTGTTTTGTGGTTTGGGTGTGAAATATATATGATATCCTGGGTTTTGAAATAGCCAACAGAGCACAAAACAGTAGCAAAACACATAATAATGTGACAATGTGGATAAAGTAATACCTTCGAGGAGCATGATATACGGTCAAGCAATATGATATGTGAAGACCGATTCGAGTAGAAAGTAGGGGGCTTATCGGCCGTGGCAGGATCTCTTCGATCTGTTGAGGGGATACTGGTGCGAACAGCAGAGAACGAATCGTATGACGTCCATCATGCGAATGCATTTATCCAAGAAATAGCTTCAATGATGTACCAGAAGATGAGGACCTGACGGGCTCGAATGCAAGATCAATTCCCAAGATGGAAACATAAGTCTAGAATCACATCACGACTAGATTCTACCTGTATATAAGTGATTTTGCAGTTTCATTTCACAGTCACAACTGCAGCTCTGGGCCTCGATAAAGTGTGTTGTGTGGGTGATCATGCATTCATGTTATATCCATTTCCATATCGTAACTCCATCCGCGCATTGCCTCGAGTATCTATGCAGCTCCCTCCTAGAGATGGCGGATTAGCACTGCAAGTGAGAAGGGGGAAGTTAGGAATATGGAGAGCGTACCTTTCTCTGACCGACGAAGAAGCCTAATCCGAAGGTATCGGTGGTGAAAGTGATCTTGCTTCCCTTGGGGACTATTCGACGATATAGATCAGCATGGTTTCAACAACCCACTGACACTCTTCCGCCGCTACCAGTTTTTATTCGCACACCCAGTCCGCCGACTTGTATCATTCGAACGGGTAGTAGTAACTCCCTCCCTTATGAACCAAGAATCAAGTATCTACTCACAGTAAAACACATCACCCTTAACAGCATGCACCTTCTGTCCCGTCTCGTCCGAAATATCAAACTCGCCATCAACGATGATCTTCATCTCATCATACGTATACTCGTATACTAGCGGGGTGCCCTTTTCTAATCTGTAGAAGCCGGCGGAGATGGGGGCGGTGGCATCGGTGGATGTGGCGACATCACCGAGGAAGGCATTATCGTTGGCGATGAGGGGGGGCTTGTAAGAGGTTTGGATACCGGGGAGGTGCTTGAATGCTAGAGGTGCCATTTTGGTTACTGGGGAGGAAGTGGTGGATTTAGTTTTGGGTTTGGATGAGCTGAGGAAGGAACCCATGTTAGCTGGTTGATGGTTCTCGAAGTGATGATTGAATGAGAGGTTGGCAATGTGCAAGTGGAATGTGAGTTATGTGTATGCCAGATGGGCATAGAGGAGTATACATACATTGTGTTGATAGGGTCGACCTTCGTGTGCTGATAGTAAGAGCTGTAGATAAGTTGATATGCAATGTACAGGAAAACATTCCCTCGAACGACAGCTCCAGCTCTCTTATACCCACCTGCCTCCCATCTTACTTGTCCATCAGCATAGATAAACATAGCTACCCTCTATAGCAAGTCAACCCCTCATTTGAGGAGCCGCACCCAATGTACTGGACTGCATTTCCGTTTTAGGAAGAGAGTGTAGCTCGAAGAGGTGGGAGGTCCATCCACTCTTGCTATTGTGCCATCGAAATAGACGGGATAGGTGGGATGAAAGCAGGACTTCCGACTTCAGCTATGCCCATGTTGAGTTCTGTCCTATGTATTTGGTTGGATGTTGAGGATAGTAAGAGTGCCGCCGGACTGGAAAGATAGATCTTACAGAGCTAACTCGGTGTCGTCCGCAAGATGCTGGTTTTCGCAGTATCTTCCTCAAGATTTGTATGTCTATAGCTCTTTACAGTATCTCCGTACTCGAATACCCAATCCATAGCCAGATCTCGATGTACAAAGACTGCCGTACATTGGCGATTCCGTATTCTCAACTCGTAGGGCTTACTTACCCACTTCCACAACTTCCTCGACTGACTTACCTGCAGAACATCCGCAGGGACCATTCGTCCAGGATACAATCCATGCAATGGATGAATCAGCGAATCGCGGCCGGGGTCGTCTTGTAATGGAGAGGACATTCACGTTGTTGAAGCTGAGATAAGGATTGGAATCGAGGAATTTTTGCCTTGATGCGGTTAAAATGTCGCTTGGCGATGTTCCACTTTCATGGATGCGCTATTTGCACGTTGGGTACGAAGTCGAGTGATGAAGAAGCCTATTGCGACTGATCATGACAACTGTGCTTGATATATTTTTGAATTATCAGAATATATCTTTCTGGAATGAATTGATACGACAACACAATGTAACTGTACTCAGGCCTTCCACACAGCTGCTACAAACGTTTATGAATCGTCAGATCAGACTGGTGATTCGGAGCTTAGTTCTAGCGCGGGGTACAGCACACAGAATACCCCGCGACAGTTTGTTAACCTGTAACCTCAAAGGATTTGCATGTACTTTTCAAAGTTTGTAGTATGCTGGTGAAATGGACCTCACTTCATATTAGATTGGGCTTTCATATCTATCTTCAGATTTATTACTCATTCTACTTCCCTGCGGGTTATCGGAAAAGAAGCCTTCAGGGTCTGAAATATCCTCGGCTTGTATCTTCGTAAACAAAATTAGCCGGTCATAGAAGGAGATCATCTCGTTCCATACCATGACAATTCTTCATATTCGAATGGCACATGTATGATACGATGAATGTTTTGCGAATATCAACTTGTGTTGTCTCCTGGCAAGGAAATATCTGGGAAAGTCGTATTCGTATTGATTGTCCTTCCGAATGAAGCATAAGCGAAGGATTTCGAGCATTCCGCCCCCGCTAACCCCCACTAATGAAGGCTAAAGCTCCCTCCAGTTCGCCACAAACATTTTGATTCATGCGAAGCTATAGATCAAGATTATTTTGTAGTATAAAGCCTCTCTGTCATCAATACCACTAAATACTGCTGTTTATCGATCCCCGTTCACACGAGACACTCTCGGTCGTCTAGTTGGTTTATGGCGTCGGACTGTAATGTTCTCAGCTCATCCGAATGTCGCGCGTTCGACTCGCGCCTGAGAGAAGATTCTTTTTTAGATTTTTCTTTATCGCCGCCGAGGTTTTCAATCACTAGCTAATCATTCTTTCAATTCCGCGTTAAGCGAACTTGAAGTCGCCTCCTCTTGCCCGACTAGAAAAGAAAATACATCCTGTCTATTTACAGATCTTAAGATTATCAGCTTGAGAAGCTCTCTGTTATTATATTTTTCCATTCCTCCTCTCTTTTGAGTTAGTTAGTCCCTTCCTGTTTTCTCTCAGGAAGCTGTTTGCAGCGGGGTTCAAGGAGCACGTCGCAAAGTCCAAAAGGGTGCTATGCAAATCATGATAAATCTACAAATTAAGAACATATAAAATCTGAAGCCATGCCGCAATAATGACATGAATCATCCGTCTAAAGTGACATTAACGTCATGATAATTGTATTCGCTTTTCCTAATCAGGTCAAGTACAGAATTTCACAGGGCAATACACTGTATCATCACTCAGTCACTCTGCGTCGTGCCATCCAAACTACACTCATAACATGGTGTACGCAATTTTGAATATCAATATTGATAATTCAATCTATTGGTTATAGTCATTATCGCGCCCTTGCAAAAATTCTCTGATACATACATACATCACAACTTGACTCCTTAGTCCTCTTAGCACGTGATAGCCCACTATCGCCCGAGATTTGTTCACCCTAAAGGCGCACTTCTCTCTACAACCAATACCATAAGCACGAAACCACAACCTGAATCAGTATGACAGACTTAACAGCCTTTACCAGATTCCCTTCCCTCCCTGTCGAACTCCAACTCAAGATCTTCCGTACAGCAAGCAACTCCTCGCCCCAGGTCTTAGATATATGGTCGGACTTCCAAAAGCGCAAAATAGGGGACCAGGACTTCTACGTCCAGCATTACGCTTCGAATCTCTGTCCCACATCCCGAACTCCTCCCGTCTTACTATCGGTATCGAGGGCTGCGCGGAGCGAATGCCTACAATGCTACTCGGAAGAATTTGTCTGTGAGATGACAATCTCAAGCGCCGGAGCCTGGTCAACTGACCTATACCGTCGCGAAGATGTCGAAATCTCCTCCACGGCAGATATCTGGATAAACTTCGCCGTCGACATCCTCGTCCCGCGCGGATTCTGGAATATCGAATCGTTCAGGGATTTCACTTCGCGGGTTCAGGGACGGGCGACATGCGTGGCGCTCGATGTGTCCGGGAGTTTTTGGAAACAGAACCTGAAGGATTACTGCCGGATGCACGATTGGGCGTTGAATGGGGTGTCGGAAGTCCTTTTGTATGATTCTTTCAGCTCTAGTTCTTCGGAAGACGAGATCTGGAGACGAAGTGACCATCTGGATCAACTTTGGCGGAGTGGGGTAGGGAAAAGAGAGTTGCGTTTCGAGCCGTTGGCTATCAGAGAAGAGGATGAGAGTGAATCTCGGGAGGAGATCAAGAAGAAGAATGAAGAGCTTGAGAGAGTGAGAGATGTGAAGGTGCTTTTGATGGAGCTCTTTGATGTCATTGAGGGTGTGAGAAGGGTAGAGGAGGATGATGATTTTGATGATTTTGATGATTTTGATGATTTCAGGGATGTGAGGAAGGCAGAACTTGTGGGGATGAAGCAGACGGCAAAGGAAGAGTTTAAAAGACCGGTTATTAGATTTGTGAAGCTGGTCACTGAAGTACCAGGGACTGGGATGTCAGGGGTAAGTTCGTGAGTGGTGAATCGATGTTGAATTTGGCTTGGGGATACTGTACATGAAAGTATGAGTCTTGGATAGAGTACTTGGGGTAAATTTTGTGAGGGGAGTGCATTCTGTTTGATCTTTTGTACCCAGCTGGATATAAGGTGTTTGATTATTCGAACGCAAGATCATCAAGGATTTATCCTACACAATATCTCACAAATAATCCGCTCATGGGCGACGATCATGTCAAATGGATCACTGAAGGCATCTGGACGGGAAATTTATCCTCCGAAATGTGGATATTCTACAATAAGTTCTCAGATGCATGATTCAAATAGACAACAAAGAAGGCTACTTACTATTCATGTATTATTAGTTTTCCAACTGCTCTCTCACCTGAAAGCGTCACTGACTCTAGGAGGTAGTGGAATATTCGTATCACATCAACACGCGACCTTAGTTACAACAGGGGAGTCAATATGATCTCCGAGTGCCCACTCGCTTTCTCCGTGGGTTTGAACCTGACTGGGTATTTTGAAAGGGTGTTTAGACGCAAACGTAGAGTAGCGGTAGTGGTCAAAGGTGGCTTAAGCAAATGGTTATCTTTTGAAGAGCGAGAATGATAATCCGCCTCCATAATAGCTGTATGATGTACGTTCAATACAATCGTATTTATTGTACATTAATTCATGTACTGTAGAATAAAAGCGTTCGAGAATCATATGCAATCGCAAGTTTTACTCTGACTTTAAATTTTATAAGGATTGATTAACTTCTTAGGATCGAAATATTCCATCCTAGGTCACGTTTATTCTATTGGTTTTAAATCATTTCAACTCTCTCCACGTCGGCATTCGAAAACCTAGAAAGCGACAAAAAATTTTTTGGGTAAAGTGCTAATTCTTGACTAACCAAACTCGTAGCACCAACTACACTTTTACCTCATTCTACTAGAGCCTAGAAAGTAAACTCGCCGGAAAGGCTACCTATTCAGCCGAACAATATAAGCGCAAGTCCGCGTTGCAATAGTCTGAATGCAATACGGCTGACCATTTAAATTTCCTTAGCCTGGCTGGCATGATCCTCATAGAAATCCACTGACAAAACCATCGTATCCCTCACCAAGGCAATAAACGAAGCTCCGAATTCCACTCCATACTTGCTCGCGAACCATGGCAATAACTACCCATCGACGACTCCATGCATCTTCTGAGCTTATCACGACATGAGTACCATGCTTATCTGTGAACAACAATAAATCAGAAACCCGACAAGATCGTTATTGGCGCCTCCATAATCCGACACATCACCCAACGCTAAGACCTTTCGAAGCCCACCGAGCCCCAGATCCTTTTGCTAAAAGGTAGCATGACAGAAATCCACTGTCCAAAAGTTTTCGAAATACCAGGTGGAAATATTGAGCCAGACGTATCCCCAATATCAAGGCAGCGATCTGTCGTGAGCGGAGAGGCAACCGGGCTCGAGGTGACGAAATTCCTCGCACGACTTCCTGACATGGCATACTCCACCGAGGAGGAGAGCAAAGCGAGCGATGGCAGTATGAGTCTCGTGAAGAAGACGTGTATCCAACTCAATGTCGACGTAGAGGTTGACTTGACGAAGGAATCCTAGGTGAATCCAGAGGAGCATTCCACCGGGGGGGAGGGCGAGCAAGGACATGTTGGGTGAGCTGGAGATGACGCCTGAGATGAGGAAGCTGATGGAAACTTTTTTTGACAGGTATACAGGCCCAAGAAGCAGATAATAGGTATCACTGGAGCCAGCCTGACGACCTGTTTTGAAGCTTTACAACCCAGTAGTGCACTCAGAAACCAGCGAGCGCCCTTAGGATCTGCCAGGCTCGACCAAAGCAGGAATGGTACGTCGACTGCAAACCTCGCGAATTTCTCAGGATAAAATGCATCCTCAATCCTCTTCTCAAACAATGTCGTCTCCGGGATGTACAGCCGCTGAGTCAATCTAGAACTATGTTGTATACAAATAACGAGTCGGAGCGTCAAAATTTCGGCGATTGAAATTCTCACAGCCGCCATCCGCGAGAACGAGTTTACCATCCTGTACCATATCCGGAGGGAGTTCGCGAAGATCATCGCTTTCAATCGGACGGACATGTGCTGTCCATGTTGGTGTGACCTCCGGTTCATATTCTGGCCAAGGGTTCGCAATACTCCTGCGAACGTTCCTCCCGTTTCTCCTCTGTCCATGTTGAAGGCGGAAATTGAAGGCTCTGACGAGTTCCTCGACGATAGATGCAAGCATAGCGTATCGAACAGGATCTGGATCACAAGGATCTGGTATGGAATACAGAGACCATTTTGGACCTAACTGGCGCCACATATACTCGCATTCTAGACGAAGTAGGACGAATTCGCGTGTCATGTATATCTCATATAGTCGATAGATAGCATGCAAAGGCGTATCGCGTATCGTCCAGATGGGAATGTATCTCAAGTTGAAGATAAAAGGATGATGATGATCAAAGAGAACCTCATTTCCGGCAATATCTTTCGGGGCAAGCAGTGCTGGCGGAGGAAAGTTATACGTCCAGTTTCTCGAAGGCACTTGCAGGTGACCAATAAACAACATCATCAGTGCGTAGTATGGGTTGTTATGATCGTGCCGGAGTCGGCGGATGCTGCCTCGCAAGCGCAAGGGCGAATGAAGATATCGAAGTCTGGAGCGCAGCCGCATCCACCAGGTGATTTTGATCCTCGGCTGATCTGGCAGCGGCATGATTGTTGTTGTTCTTGTTATTGTTATTGTTATTGTTGTCGCGTAAGGTGCCACTGGACTGAGGGAGAAATGAATACTTATAATGGAGGGACTCTCGTGAAGTTCGAAATGTCTCACGCCCATGGTCTCAGCGCTAAGTCACCCACCGCCTTCGGCAGAACCAGAAGATACATTCCATAGTACTTATATTACATTATTCTCGACGTCGAGGCATTGTCGGGGACGCATTCGAGTGCTGACAGACAGCATTTGAATCATAGTAATAGAAAGGGTGTCATTGTCATAGTCATTCACATAGTCACACGAGCATAATGATAGTCAGACCTTGTTTGCTATGAATTAGAATTCACAATTACTAATCTAATTTCCCTCTCTCTTTGCTTCCTCTTTCCCTCTGACTAATAGACCTTGACCTTGTTCAGCTCCAGTGACCAAAGCCAGTAAGTAGTACTATCCAGACTTCTTCCCGGTGTAGAAGTAACATGGATAGGTCCCGTCAGCGAAGGTTGTCGAAGCCAGAATCCAGTCTGCATGTAGTAGTACCCTATACCTTATCTCATTGTGTTTAAAATTGATGTAA